TGTCTTTAAGAGAGTGCTAAACATGAAAATGAAATATGTTTTGCTACCACAAAATCAAACTTAAGCACAAAGCCCACAGATACTGTAAAGTAACTACACAATCAAGTCTACCTAACAACCAGCTAACACAATAACAGGATCAAAATTTCACATACCAATACTAGTATTAATCCACAAATTAATCCACAAATAAAGATCCCATACAGAGTCAAGACCCTCTGAAAGCATCCAGAAATGAACCCAACTTACTAGGCCTAATGTAAATGGGCTAAACATCCCACTTAAAAGGAACAGACGCAGTGGCTCAAGCCTGTAATCCCAGCACTTTGGGAGGCCGAGGCAGGTGGATCACGAGGTCAAGAGATCGAGACCATCTTGGTCAACATGGTGAAACCCCGTTTCTACTAAAAATACACAAAAATTAGCTGGGCATGGTGGCGCGTGCCTGTAATCCCAGCTACTCAGGAGGCTGAGGCAGGAGAATTGCCTGAACCCAGGAGGCGGAGGTTGCAGTGAGCCGACATCGCACCATTGCACTCCAGCCTGGGTAACAACAGCAAAACTCCGTCTCAAAAAAAAAAAAGAAACAGAGTTGTAATCCAGATAAAACGACAAGACCCAATTATCTGCTATCTTCAAGAAGCCCATCTCACAAATAACAACACCCACAGGATCAAAGTAAAGGGATAAAGAAAGATCTATCATGCAAATGTAAAGAAAAAAAGGGGCAGTTGCTATTCTTATATCAGACACAACAGAATTTCAACTGCCAACTATTAAGAAGGACAAAGATGAACATTACATAATGATAAAGAGAACAATTCAACAATTGTTGAGCTCTCCTAATTATATAATTACCCAACATTAGAGCACCCAGATTCATAAAACAAGTTCTTGACCTAGGAAAAGACTTAAACACACAGTAATAGTGGGAGACTTCAACATCTCACTGACAGCATCAAACAGATCTTTGTTAGAAAACTAACAAAGAAATTTTGAACTTAAATGCAATAATTGACTGATTTGATCTAACAGACATCTACAGAATAATCTAGCCAAAAATCACAGCATATATATTCTTTTCATCTGCACCCAGAACATATTCTAAGACTGACCACATGCTGTCATAAAGTCTCAATAAATTAAAAAACAAAAAGGAAATCATATCAAGTATACTCTCAGAGTACAGTGCAATAAAAATAGAAGTCAATATCAAGATCTTTCAAAATTACACAAATACCTTAACAATGTTTTCCTGAATAACTCCTTGGTAAACAGCAAATTTATGGCAGAAATCAAAAAATTCTTTGAAATTAATGAAAATAGGGACATAACTTACCAAAATCTCTGGAATGCAGGAAATTTTGCTGTACTAAACACCTTCATCAAGAACTTAGAAAGGTCTCAAATTAACTATCTAACTTGGCACCTAGAGGAACTAGGAAAAAAATGGAAAAAAAAAAAACAAAAAAAAAAAACAAGTAAGTAGAAACCAACCCCAAGCAAGCAGAAGAAATAACTAAAATAGGAGAAGAACTTAATGAAATTGTACATCTGGAAGAATTTGCCTGTGAATCCACCTGGTGGGTTTTTCTTTTTATTTCTGATTCAAGACACAATGAAAAAAGAAAACTTCAGGCCACTATCCCTGATGAACAGATACAGAAATCCTTAACAAAAAAAAAGCAAACCAAATCCAGCAGCACATCAAAAAGTTAGTACACCAAGATCAAGGAGGCTTTATTCCTGGGATGCAACACTGACTCAATATATGTAAATCAATAATGTGATTTACTACACAAAAAGAATTAAAAGCAAAAACCATATGATTATCTCAATGGACGCAGAAAAAGCTTTCAATAAAATCCAACATCTCTTCATGATAAAAACTCTCAACAGAATAGTCATCAAAGGAGCATCAAAATAACAATAGCTATCTGTGATAAACAAACAGCCAACATCATACTGACTGGACAGAAGCTGGAGAACTGAACAAGAATGCCCAAATGCCCACTCTAACCACTACTAGTCAACATAGTACTGGAAGTCCTGACTAGAGCAATTTGGAAAAGAAAAAGCAAGAAAAGGCATTCAAATAGGAAAGGACAATCTATCTTCACTAACAATATGATGCTATATCTTAAAACCCCTAAAGACTCCACCAAAAAGGCTCTTACAAGTGATAAACAAATTTAGCAAAGTTTCAAATACAAAATCAATGTACAAAATTCAATAGCAATTCTATACACGAATAGCATTCAAACTGAAAGTCAAGGAAGAAGACAATCCCATTTACAGTAGCCACAAAACAACAGAAATACCTAGGAATACAACTAACCAAGAAGGTGAAAGATCTCTATAAGAAGAACTACAAAATACTGCTGAAAGAAATCAGACACAACACAAATAAAATGCAAAAATGTTTCATGTTCATGGAAGAATTAATGTCATAACAATGGCCATACTCCCCAAAGTAATTTACAGATTCTATGCTATTCCTATACAACAACGTCATCTTACACAGAATTAGAAAAAATTCATAGGGAACCAAAAAAGAACACAGTCAAAGCAATCCTAAGCAAAAAGACACAGGAAACACCAAGTCTCAATAAGGTAGATTCCTTCAAAAAGGAAATACAGGTAACATGGATTAGAGATAATTTCTCAAGAAAACAATGTAAATAGTTGTTTTACTGGTGATAATTGGAGTATCTCAAAATTCTATCCCTCACTAAATCCAATCAGAAGAAGTGCCATGTTTCAATGTAGCTGACACAAATAGAAAGTAGCCTCTGGAATAGCAATCCCTCTTTTGCCATTTTGGCAACTCAAATAAAAGATTTAAATTTTTTAATATTAATGCTTTAAAAAAATTACTAACATGGTAACATATATTATATATATTACTATATTGTGCTGAAATATGAATCCATGAGGCTTTCTGTTCAAGACTGACCACACAGGTATTCTTTATGTTTGATGTCACTAAAGTATAAAAATGTATAATACACAGATGGCAAATAAGCATATGAGAATATGTTGATCATCAGCTATTACGGACTAAATGTTTGTGTCCCCCAAAATTCATATGTCGAAATCTAATCGCCAGTGTGATAGTATTAGGAGATAGGGTCTTTGGAAGGTAATTAGGTCATGAGGATAAAGTCCTCATAAATGAGATCAATGTCCTTTAAAAGAGGGCAGAGAGCTCTCTGGAGTTCTTTCTTCCATGTGGGGATAGAATGAGAAGTTAGCAATCTGCAACTCAGAAGAGGACCCTCACCAGAACTTGACCATGCTGGCACCATGATCTCAGAGTTCTGGCCCACCAAAACTGTGGGAAAAAAAGTATATTATCTATAAGCTATCCAGTGCATGGTATTTCATTATAGCAGCCTAAACTAAGACATGAGCCATAGGAAAATGCAAATTAAAACTACGATGCTATATATTCTCGTCATAACAGCTAAACTAAAAAATAGTCAAATTACCAAATATTTGTGAGAATATTAAGATTTCTCAGACATTGCTAATGGAAATGTAAAATGGTACAGCCACCCTGGGAGATCAATTTGGCCATTTCTGTTTAAAAAATTAAAACTGAGACAACTGAGCATGGCAACTTGCACCTGTAATCCCTGCTGCTCAGGAGGCTAAAGCAGGAGGCTAACTTGAGCCCAGGAGTTTGAGGCTGCAATGAGTTATGACCACACCACTACACTCCAAATTTGGTTAAAAAGCAAGATTCGGTCTCTTAAAATAAATAAATTAATGCATACATACATACATACATACTAGGCCTATACTTACCATGAACTCAGAATAAAACTCCCAGGCATTTCTCCCAGAGAAATTAAAATTTATGTCCATATAAAATCCTGCAGATGACTATTCACACCAATTTTATTTGTAATAACCAAAACTTTAAGTACCAAAATGCCCCTCAATAAATGAACAGTTATACAAACTGTGGTACTTCCATACTACAGAAAACTACTCAGTAATAAAAAGAACAAACTACTGATACATGAAAAAAATCCAATGCCCAAAGGTCACTTCTTATATGATTCCATTCATATGATATTCTCAAAATGGCAAAATTATAGAAACAGAGAATAGTTCATGGTTGCTAGGGCTTACACACGGTGCTCAGGGTAGGACACATGCTAAACTAGGAATCACTGTAAAAAGATAGCACAAGGAGACCTTTTTGGTAATGAAACATTTCTGATTACAGTAGTGGTTAAACAAACCTACACTATAAAATGGTAACAGAACCACGTGTGCATTGTACCTATATGAAATTCCTGGTTTTGATATTATACTGTAATTATGTAAGATGTAACCATTTGGGGAACTGGGTGTACCATACATGGGACTTCTCTGTACTATCTTTACAACTACATGTTGAAATCTATAATTATTTCTAAATAAAAAGTTAAAAACAACAACTATTTGATGATAAACAATAAACTTCTAAATTATTTTATTTAGGGCAAAAAATTATCTATTAAATTCCTAAGACTTGAAGAAAATAAGTCATTTGTTCCATAATGTCTATTATGTTGGTGTTATGAGGGAGACAGGTTTTCAAAAACCTACCTGATGTTTACAATTGTCCAGTTGAGAAATTATATTACTATCAGCATAATGTAAAAGTAGACTGCATTGCTTTGCAAAGACATTAAAAGTTAAAATATTGAAAGTGCACCTAGATTTGACTGCCTTTGTCTTTCCTCAGAGATTAAATTCCACAAACTGTGGCTAAATCTAAATATATATAAACTTAATTCTAGGAAGTATATCTTTTCAAAGTATTTAATATAGTAATATTTCATTTTTGATACATAAAATATTTGCAAAAGCAATGAAACGAAAGCAAACTGACCTAGAGGACACTTAAAATAAAAATAATAATTCCTATAAAAGGGTTGAGTAATCCTACGCATTTACTTGAGATATTTCATGCCACCAAAAAAAAAAAAAAACCACACCCATCTCTTCTAGCCAATATTTAATAATCCCATAGTAACTGATGTGTAAAAAAATGTCTTTATGATCTGTTACCACCCAAAAGAATGCATCACAATAACTTTCAAGAATATGTTCCTTGACTTCTAACCTCGGCTCTTCTTTAGAATCACCTATAAGAAGGAAAAAAAATAAGATTTATTATACCTATGAAAATTAAAACATCATTCCTTAACAAAAAGTTAAATAGTCCTGGGTACATAATATGCAAGTTTGAATTTATAAAATCCGATTTGGAAGGTGATTAAGGAATCTTTTGTCTTAGATTTCTCTAAAATAGCCTTATCTCAATGACTATGAAACATGCCTAGATTGTAAAAACCTGGCTTTATTAGTTACCTCTAGATTCTTCAATTGTAAGCCAAAAGCATTCAGATTAATGGTTTCAAACTTGAAATTTTTAGACAATACAGTTATCTAAATTAGGAGTTAAACAATATCAATTAAGGAGTTAAACAACATTCTAAAACTCAGAGTCTTCTAAGTCAGACATTTCACAACTATAAAGTAGCACAAATCCACTGCAACATTAAATCTATTATATTTGGACTGGAATTATAATCATTTGAGAACAAAACTGGCTATCTTATGCTGAACAGTTTGTTAAGTAGACTATTTTCAAAATATATAGTATGTGAAACAAATAAAAGGAGATTTTAGTTGTAAAAAGACTGACAGCATTAGTCAGAAGATCTGTTTTTTTTTTTAAAGTATCTACTATTTCAAGTAAATAAACCTACAATTTAAAAAATCCTAAATTTGAAGCATACATATATATTCTTCAATATCTTAAGCCTTGTTTTTCCTGCAGAAAAATATTCACATTGACTTTAATAGCCTAAAAATTTGTTGGAATGTTTATAATTGCAAGATAATTTAAAGCTCCTAGAAAATGCCAAGACATGCACATTTCTAGGCTTCCAAAAGGCCATCAAATAAATCTGTATCTAGGCTAGTACTTCTCTGTTCCACAATATAATATCATAAGTACTTCAAAAGAAAGTTTGAATATTCAAATGAATTTACAAAATGCTGAGTATCTTATATACTCAAATAAAGTTACAAAATATTAAACAGAATTCAACAAGTTTCCTTACTGCTATATTTCTCTCATAGCCTTTCATAACTTTACATAACTATAGTTACATAAGATGTTAGGATTGTGAGAAACTGGATATAAGGTGCATGGGAACTCTGAACTATTTTTGTACCTTATTTCAAAATACATTTAAAACAAAAAGTCTACAAAGAGGTAGACTGTCAAAAATAAGTTTCTCTCCTCTATCATCTCCAGTGGTTGCCAGCTTCTTACATATTCTTATGGAAACAAGTTCTACAATAATACTGTGAACTAATCAAGGAAATATAGCATGCTATGTTATCTACACTTATTTGACCACAAAAGCATTTGAGGTAGGGCCTCTATCAACATGATTTGAAAATAACATTTTCAGGAACATATCTGGAAAATTGTGCCATAGGCAACATATTCTTAACATTATAGAAAAACAACAGTAAGAAGCAATCATCTCTACTTATATAAGAGATTTCACCCATAAATCACTCAAATCTTAAAAAAGTCATAAGAAATCAAATAATTAGTGATATGGTTTCGCTTTGTGTCCCCACCCAAATCTCATCTTGAATTATAATCCCTTCATGCTGAGGAAAGGAGATGATTGGATCGTGAGGGCAGTTTTCCCCATCCCGTTCCCCTGATAGTGAGTGAGTTCTCTTTCCTTTATAAAAAACCGCAACTCGGGTATTCCTTTACAGCAGTGTGAAAATGGACTAATACAATGGGGTAATTAGGATAATTTCAAATGCTCAAGAAGAAAGTAAGTTTTGATAAATTTCAAGGTGATATATCTTCACAGCCTACAGATTAGCAGTCTGTAGAAACATGAATGTTTCCTCTAAAGCAGTGGCCATTAATATTACCATTGGAAATCAGTGATACACACATGGAGGAAATCTAACTCCTTAATTAAAATCATTAACTCATAAAAGGCAAAACATCAACTCAATCAACAAAACTGAGTAAGGTATACAAATCAGGAGAAGTGATGAGTGGTATTTTTGAAGTGTAATTCTTGCTCAAGAAAAGAAATGTGGATTTTACCTTTGCTGCGGCCAGTACATGCTCCTTGTTAATGACTCTACATTTATTTTCACAAGCATTTGTCCTGGACTCTTCTGCTAATCGATGAACAAACAGTAAACAGCTTAGATGGACCTTTAAAAAAGAAAATCCAAGTGGATTTTTAAATACTGATGCACTGAAATAATGACTTTTAGAAAATAATTATCTCAAAATGTATTGTTGTACTATTTACTATTGTGATTAAATTAACTCTTCTATTTAGACTTACATAGAATTCAGTCTAATGTAAGTCCACCTTAGATTTCCTGCAGAGACTAGGTCATTGCAATACATGAAACAAGCTATGTAAGGCAGACCAAAGACCACAAAAATAGCATTTTTTGTAAAGCATCATTATATATCCAACTTATTTAAGATTCACTCAGTAACAAATATACCTGCTTCTGATACAAATAGATTGGAATTTATAACATAATTTAAAATTTCCAGAAAATTTTAAATTAAAACATATCAAAAACTACATTTTAGGCTATCATTCTACAATCTGAGGTCAAAGATTTTTAAACAGATATATTTAAGTATTTAAAAACACGTTACTAGTTGAAATTGTTTAAGTTTGCTTAATTAAAAAGTGTATGTACAAAGGCCAAGTTATTTGTCATCCAACAACTATCACAAAATAACCATACTTACTATTAATAATCTTTAAGACTTTTTAAAAAATTATTTAAAATACATAATATAAGCAGACTCAAAAATTTAAAAGCCTATAAAAAAAAAAAAAAAAACAAACTATAGTTATGTAAGATGCCAGCATTGTGGAAAGCTGGCTAAAGGATACATGGGAACTGTGTACTATTTTTGCACCCTCTATTGGGTCTATAATTATTTTAAAATAGGAATATAAAACAAAAAAGTTTACAAAAGGGTAGACTATCAAAAGTAAGTCTATTCCCCATCTCTTCCCCGAGTCAACCATAGCTGACACTTTCTTGTACATTCTTACAGAAACAAGCTCTACATATAAGCAAAACATATGTACTCATCATCAGATAATATATATATATATATCAACATTATCTGATATTATATATATGTGTGTGTGTACATATATATATAAACAAGCTCTGATATATCATATATAATAACATCTTATTAAGTATTTTACTCAAAATCACCATCCAGAGCAACAATTCTTAACCTACAAGCACATTCCTTGGAAAATAAAAGTTAAGGTACTTGTAATCCAAGCAAAAGAAAATGTGAAGTGAGCTAAAGTCTTATCTCAATCCCCACTCTAGGATATGTAGTACTCTTATTTATATTATTGCACATATCTTCCCCATCCTTTGCTTCTGCCAGGTACCTGAGGGCACTACTAACTTAGATTCAATTAGATAGTGTCTTTAACATGACGTATTTTGTTATTTACATCATAACAAGTCATATTTGCAGTTAGAAAAACAATTTATACACAGAACTTAATATTCACTATCTTGTGTACTGCACACTCTCTTCTCCCCCGGTTCACTAAAAGTTAATAACTATTAATGTGATGTTTTAATGCTTTATATACTGCAGAAATCTTTAATAGATTGTTATATAGGTGTTTAATAACATTCTAGTGACGTGGAGAAAACAGAGGTTTGGGAATTTAAACAAAATGAAGAATCTATGAAAAGTGGATACTCTTTTGGTACATTTCTGATGCACTGTCTTCTTTGAATTCTCACAAGAACTCTGAGGTACAACATCCTAATTCCAATTATTCACATTATACTGTGTCAATTATTTTTTAAACTTTCAATGATAGCCCATTTCATTTGGTAGCAAAAACACCCCATAATATGGCACATTTTCATTTGTTAATCTATATTTTCTACTTCTAAAGGTAAACAGCTTCCAGATACCCTCAGGATAAATTCCAAATTCCTTAACACTAAATCCCACTTGACTGGGGTTCCAGTTTCATCTCTCACCATTCTCAGCTTCCAGTTCTATACTAGGCCTTTTGAACTTCTTTGAGAATCCAAATATAACCTTGCTCTAGGCATCCTACTTGTTTACAGACTTCTCAAGAAGTCCAAATTCCCCCAATATATAAGGTTATATTGATCCACAGCACTCTGAACTTCCTATCACTGCATAAACTGCATCATGCTGTAATTTCTGACTTAGCTGTCTTCCTCAATGTACTGTAAGGACAAGAATTATGCCTAGCCTTTTCAACACTGTTAAAGGACAACAGTGTCCTTTAACACATTGCTCAATATGTAGTAGCTAGCTAATAATTATTACTGCATGAAGACCCCACCACATCTCCCAAATAAGGCCAAAAAACATTTTTTTTAAATCAGCCCCAATTAAACTACACTGTCTTAAGACTTAATTCATTAACCCAGGTGGAATATCCTTTCCTCTTCATGGTCATGAGCCATGGATGCTGTGATGGTTAATATTGAGTGTCAACTTGACTGGATTGAATAATGCAAAATATTGTTCCTGGGTGTGTCTGTGAGGGTGCTGCCAAAGGAAAATAACAGTTGAGTCAGTGGACTGGGCAGACCCACCCTCAGTCTAGGTGGGTATCATCTAATCAGCTGCCAGCAGGGCTAGAATAAAGCAGGCAGAACGTGGAAGTACTTGACTTGCTGAGTCTTCCAGTCCTCATCTTTCTCTCCTGCTGGATGCTTCCTGCCCTTGAATATTGGACTCCAAGTTCTTCAGCTTTTGGACTCTTAAACTTATACCGGTAATTTGCCAGGGGATTTAGGGCCTTCAACTACAGACTGAAGACTGCATTATCAGCTTCCCTGCTTTTGAAGTTTTGGGACTGGGACTGGCTTCCTTGCTCCTCAGCTTGCAGATGGCCTACTGTGGGACATCACCTTGTGACTGTGTGAGTCAGTACTCCTTAATAAACTCCCCTTTATATATACATCTATCCTATTAGTTCTGTCCTTCTAGCAAACCCTAATACAGATACTGAGACAAATTAGTATGACTTTTTCAGATCTCACTAATTTTTTTTCAAGCAACCTATATCTATGCGATAAAACAGTTACTTGAGTGGTGCTACTCCCGTGTGCTAAGGCTTATATTAAAATGGTCAGAACAAAAGTTAGTTTTAGGCTATTTAGTCAGGCATTCAAACTTGAAAAAGATAAGCTATTCCATCAATAATTTACTTTTAAAAATCCACTTGCTTGAAAAATAAACCAAAAGAAAATTTATAAATAAACATTCACTTGACAGTCTCAGTTGACAGAAAGACTGGGCCAGCCTGACTTCTTCCTCCCTTTGTCATAGCACTTCTGAATTTTACACGAACTATAAGCACCCAGATACTTGCACAGCATTCTTTTAACAGATGTTAACCCTTTCCCTAGTACCATCCCTCAGGTTAAACCATCAAATAAAGCATAACACAAACAAAATAACAAAATGCCACTGAAGAATAAAATAACACAATGAAATTATAAGTAAAATGCTAGAAATGACATCAATCCACATATAATTATCATGCATTTCCAAAATTAATTTTACACTCAGAATGTTGAAGCTATTATGCTAAACACTAGGAATACAAAGATTTCCCAGTTCAAGTTACCAGACTAATGGGAGAATCAAACCCATAAGGAAAAAGGCAAATGTGTGACACCAGATGATGGAGAAGAAGATAAGACTGATCTTTTCTAAGGATACTAAGGAATGCTTCACTGAAGTAGCATATGAACTGGATTTTGAAAAAATTGTAGGTTGCCAAGTAGGGTGGAGTGAAGACATCTTCAAGCAGTAGAAATATCGTGTATAAAAAGCAGCATAAAAGTAGATTAATTTTATGTTAAAGATAATGGGAGACAGAAGAGAAGATATTCTTTCTCCTCAAGAAGCTGCATACCACACTAGGAGACATCAACATGAAAATGAAACTCCTAGACAACAATCCAACAGCTCAATTATATAATGTATACTCTTAGGGCTGACCAAGATCAGAAAAAAAGAAAAAAAAAAGATCAAAACAAACTGCCTTAACTATGAAAAAACTTTGTGGATGATGTGGGATGCCTGCCTGCTATGTGAGATTATGAAGTGTCAACCGTGAGCAGGAAACTATAAAGAAACCAAGGTAATGCATGCCATATACAGGACAGTTAAGAGGAACTGTTTAATGAAAGCCAAAGATGAGGAGCATATTACCTGGGAAAAGTTGGTAACCAAAGAACACTCTATTCCCCATCAATGCAACCGCTTGAAATTTCAACTCACGCACCTTCTCATGCCACCTGGATCCCACCGCACGATGGAGTCCCTCTGTCCATGGGAACGTTGGGGCAGAAAGGGGTAGATGTGGGAGGATGCTGACTAGAGAAATGTCTAAGCCATTTGCACCAGCTGGTAGTCTCTTGGATATCTTTTACAGGTACATTTCCTCTCCCTTCACTTAGAAGCCCCAGTGAAAGCTCCATAATAAACTACGTTAAAATGTTTTGCAAGTGAATTTCATTTTAATTCCATTCATTTATGCCACCTCTATCAGCAGCATAGGGTAGTTAATTGGGGTGGGGCACAAGACAGCCTGTATTGCCTTTTCTTACAGGATTTAAGAAAGGAACAAAAAGAAGGGCAGAGGATAGAAGTAATACTTTTCTGGGGGGAAATGTGTTTTTTTTTTTCTGTTTTGGCTTCAGAGAATAAATAAGGGGAAAAGTGGAGATAATTCTAGAGTAGTTTAGCAAAAAGGAAGCAACAGATTGGGTGCCAGTGGAGAATTCTAGGAAGCAAAAGAGAAAAGAGAAGGCAGAAAAACCAATGTCGTTTAAGAACAGTTAGGATGATGCATTCCCAAGACTATCCGTGAAGTATGCTCCTGTTATCCACAATGGAGTACCTTGATCTTCTGGAAATTATGTGTCCATTTATAACTGTTCCTTTACTCAAAGAGCTCTTGTGACAAGGTACCAAACATGCCTCCTGTGGTTTAAACCTACAGAAATAGTGTTTATTGTGCCAGAGGAATATGTGTTCCAGGCATTCAATCCAAAAACTGAATTTATTTCAAGACAGAAACATTATTGTACAGTGGTTTGGCTGGGACTTCTAATTAGGAGAACATTAGGCTTCAGGTATTACAAGTCAAATAAGAAGACTTCAGTAGTGTAGCTTAAAAACTGACAAGGTGTTCTAGTATTTGTCTAGGAAAATGAATTAACAGTTGAGAGCATTCTTCCTACAAATAAACTTTCGCATCAGGGTCTTTTAGTAAGCACACTAACCTAGAGGAAATAGGGCAATGTTTGGTTAAATGCATAAAAAGAGGAGAAGGAAGGAGGCATGGGAGGAAAGAGGAGAGAGGGAGGGAAGCAAGAAGGGGGGTGCTTAAAAGGCATGTGAACAATGCCTTTTACAACAGCTAAATAAAAATGACCCAGACTGAATTCCAAAATCTATTTTTTAAAGAGTGCATCTTTCATACCCTCTGCAAGTACATTAATCACAATGCCAGACTGTGTTCCTAAACAGCAATACTTAAAAACTGCAAGCAGCCACGGTACGCTAAGCTCCTGTAACTAAGAGCCTCCCTTTAAAAAGATCCAGATATTTACATTTTGGCGGGGCCCGGGACAACTGAGCGCCAGGAATACGAACTGACAAACCAGGGAGGGGCATACGTAACCTGTCATTGCTGGAACTGCCTTAGACATGGGCCTGAAAGAGCTATTGATTGGCGCTATTGATTGGCTCGGGGCGGGAAAAAAAAAAAAAAAAAAAAAAAGGCTAGAGGTTATTGCCCTTACTTTCCCGTCCCCCATTCCCAGCCCGAGAAGGCATGGAATCTCACCAGTAAATCACCACTTTTCTCCAGACGAAGTTGAGGCTTCTGTCGCTTGAAGACTCGCTTTAGAAAGCCACGGGGAGCCTTCCGCTTTATCTGCTTCCTTTGGGAGACTGTGGTCGACAGCGCCATCCTCTCCGTCAGGTACCAGCTGCCTCAGCTTCCGAGGTGTTCCCCGCACCGCACACAAGCTCAGGGAAAACAATCCGGTCCCTCTGACGCTTCTTCAGACCCCGAAACCGCGATCCCAACGTTCGAATCCGCCGCCGACAGAACGCGCCCGGCGCTCAGTAGTGACGTTAACCCTGCGCAAGCCCCGCCCCGGAGGCGCCTGGCTGTAGGTGGAAAACGCCCACGGTGGGCGGGTCCCGGGAGTACCTTACGTCATTAAGAGTCTGCATCCTCCTTGCGTCACTTTCTGTGTTATAACTTTTGCTCTGTGGAATTATTTATCCTAGGTTTCCTACAGAGGATTGGAAGTTGTGGAAAAATAGATTGGAAAGCCAAGGCAGTTTTCAAGCACTCACTCTGTACTGTCCCTAATACCAATGAACAAAAGTTTGTGATGTTTTATCAGGATTCCTAAAAAACCAATGCAATGCCTTCCTAGCAAGAAAGGCATGATTTTCAGATACTAACAGTTAACAATTTTACACTTCTGCATAATTTTATTTGATCTTACCTTAGGTCTTTTCATGATTCTAGCTTTTCTTTACGAATACTGCTCCCTTTAATTTTAAGGTTCCTCTCACTTAACCGAGCAATAACTTCCAGTTGTAGTTTAAATGCTAACTCATTAAACTTTTTGTTACTTCTTCAAGCTGTTAATTTCTCTGTCATTTGTGCTACCATAAACGTATTAATAGTTATTACCTTTATGAGCATCAAAATCACTTGGGAGACTTGTTAAACTGCTGTTTGCAGGGCCCTGCTCCCAGACCGCTCCCAGAGTTTCTCCTTCACTAGATCTAGGGAGGACTCAAAAATTTGCAATTCTAACAACTCAGGAGATATTGGCATTTGCTAGTCTCTGGACCAATTTTTGATTTTAATTATAATTATCTCTAATACTATCTCTATTGTGATCTCAATATTATATTATTGTGATGTCACCCACACAAATGATCCTTCTACTATCTGGCCTCCCATTTCTAAGACCTCCTCTCTGACAATCATCTCCTACATCCTTGAGTTATTCATGCCTGTGATCATACATTAGGGGGTGTCATTACTAAATACCTTACCTTTTCATATTTTCAATTTAGTTGTCTTTCTTCAACCACATCTTCTATTTTTGAACTTACTTCCTCCAACAATTCTTAGATGCTGCTGGGACTACTCTCCTCTCACCACACCCCCAACCCTGCCACCCCACTCTATGCCTTATCTTCCCACCTGTAGTCCATTGTGCATTGGTCATCATAATACTCCCCTCTATTTCTCCACAGCTTTCTAGCCATATCCTCCTGCAAACCTGGAAAGATTCTTCTTTTCTTTCTAACCCCATTCTCAATCTCCAGTGATGACATTGTTTCATCAACAAAATAAAATTTAAAAAAAAATTCATAGAGACTTTCTGTATGCTTTCACTACTCCATCTACCCATCAAACACTACCTGCTTCCATGAATGAGATGCCAACTACTCCACTTGTGCCTGAGATCAAGCCCCTTCCCTTTCTTAAGGACATTTCTGTGCAATTCTACTTGCTCCTCTGCTTCATGAATTTTCCTTCTTTGCCAATTTTTTGCCATCAGCCTCCACAGAGCTTATAACATGTCCAATCTTTTGAAAACCCTCTCTTAATCTGACCTTTTGCTGTTGTCCTCCTACAAAACAAAACAAAACTAGAAACGGTTGGCTAAATTCAATGTCTCCAAATAACTGTCCTCTCATTGTCTGTTGAAGCCATTACAATCAGAATTTTGTACCTATCTCTTCACCAAAATTGTTTTGTGCAACATGACCAATAGTGTCATACTTGCAAATCCTATGGCCAATTTTCAGGCTTCAGCTTATTTGTCCAACCAGAAGTATTTGTTGACTTTCATGATTTCTCCTTCCATGAAACAGTATCTTAAATTGGATATGATTCTCTTTTTTCTTTGTACTTGATAACATCTCAGTCTCCTTTGTTGGTTCTTTCTTTTCTCTTCGATCTGTAAATCTTAGAGTACTCCATGACCACATCCTGAGATTTTTCCTCTATCTACACTCACACCCCATCTGATCTTGTCCAGTATTATGGCTTTAAATACCAAATTTACATCTCCAGCTTATTCTCCCCTAAACTTCAAGCATGTATATCCATTTCTCTGATGGACTAGAATTCTAAAAGTCATCTTAACATTATGTCTAAAATTAGGTCTTGATCTGCCCTTGCACCCCAAACATGTTTCTCCCACTCTCTTACCTATCTTATCTTCTGGCACTTCCAACCTTCCAATTACTCAAGCCAAAATCTTGAAACTGTCCTTAACCCCTCTCTTTATCTAACTCCACGTTAAATCTTTCAGCAAATCCTGTCAGTTCTACTTGGCAGTATCTGATCACATCTCACCACTTCTGCTGCTACCACGCTTGGACTAGACACCATCATTCACATGGTTTACTGCAATATCCTCCTGAGAGTGTCTCAATCTGTTTCTATTCTTTCTTAACAGAACAGTTAGATTTAATTCAGATTATGTCACCTCAGACCTCACTAGTCATTTCCCCATCTCCCTTAAAATCATAAAACAAAGTCCCTATAATGACCTGAGGCCTTATGTGCCCCTACAAATGCACACGCACTTACAAATATATAATTAACTTACTTATCTCCTACAATTGAGCAACTCACTCTCCACCAGCTGCGTTAGTCTCCTTAATATCTTCAATTCTTTAGATGTTTGTGTCCCCCCAAAATTCATCTGTTGAAATCTAATCATCAATGTGATGATATTAGGATGTGAGGCCTTTGGAAAATGATTATGTCATGAGTGCAGAACCCCCATAAATGGGATTAATGCCCTTATAAAAGAGGTCCTAGGGAGCTGCATTCCCTTTTCCACCGTGTGGGAACATAGCTAGAAGGCACACCATCTATGAAATCCAAAAGAGGGCCCTCACCAGAACCTGACTTTGCTGGCACCATGATCTCAGACTTCCCATCCTTCAGAACTGTGAAAACAAATTTCTGCTGTTTATAAGTGCTGTAGTTTGAATGTTCCCTTTAAAACTCACACTGAAACTTAATCTGTAATGTGGCAATATTGAGAGGTGAGGCCTTTAGGAGGTGATTGGGTCCCAAGGATTATGACCTTATGAATGATTTAATCTATCCATTAATGAGATATTATGGGAGGGGAACTGTGGCTTTATAAGATGAGGAGGAGAGTCCTGAGCTAGCACATTAGCATGCTCAGCCTCCTCACCATGTGGTATTGTGCACCATCTCAGGAATTTACAGAAAGCCTTCAATGGCAAAAATGCCCTCACCAGAGGCAGCCCCTTCACCTTTAACTTCCTGGCCTCCAGAATTGTGAGAAATAAAGTTCATTTCTTGAAGATTAACCAATGTTAAGTATTCTATAATAGCAAGAGAAAATTAACTTAGACAATAAGTCCCCCAATCTATAGTGTTTTCTTGTATCATTCCAAGCACACTAAGATAATATCTTTCAGATGGACTTCAAGTACATGCAACACAACACACTCACTCACCCATCAGGTGTTCACACTAACTATTCCCTCTGTTAAGAATGCTTTCTGGCCGGGCACAGTGACTCACGCCTGTAATCACAGCCTTTTGGGAGGGTAAGGCAGGCAGATAACCTGAGGTTCTTATATTTTTTTAATGACAGGGTATCACTATGTTGCCTAGGCTAGTCTTGAACTCCTGGCCTCAAGTGATCCTCCTATCTCAGCTTTCCAAATCACTGGGATTACATGTATGAGCCACCCAACTCAATTTGTCATTTTTAAAATACATGAATGAGTCCATTTTGATGTCAACAACTTTTATATTTCTCAATCTTAATCAAGCTTTTGTCTAAAAGCACTTCTGATCAATCATCCTGCAGTGAGGTTTTGATTGTCCCATGGTGCTAGGATGGACTTATCATGGGTTATTGGTCTGGTTCCACTTTGGAGGGAGTAAATGACTACTATGACTCACTGTCAAAATCCGTTTAGCCAGATTTGAACAACAGAAAGGTTTCAAAGGAGTAGCTCTCCAGCTAGACCTGTAGTCCATTATTAAGTTCAATTTTTGTCTGCTCCGTAGTCTTTTGCTATCATCTCAAAATGCTGGGTCAGTTTTATACTGTTAGTACTTGTATTGCTGCACAAATTTAACAAGTAACAGACACAGCTTAAAAAGGTGAAATACAGGTAAATTAGCATTATTATGACAATCTCAGTTTGCATAATGGCATCGAGCCACAAACCTAGGCTTAAAGGCAACCAGTTTAAATAAATCAATGACCACTGTCTTCCAAGTGGAAAAACTGGGCATTAAAAAGGAATTAAAGTTTCATTATGATATGGAGCCATTTTCTGCCATATTCGAAAACTGTCTAGAGCATGAAAATATAAACATCTTGTCTTGCTTTGTAGTTTGAATATCTCCGGCTATAGTGTCAGGTAGTGTGGTAAATTTTCTGTGTAACCCATACATTAGGCATGAGACTTGTTCCTTAAAATTCATCTACTTTTAGCTTACAGGGCTTCAAGAAGAGAGTAGTTTCTCTTTTAATAACTCTATGAAAGAAAATTGGATTGGAGGAAACTAGAAGAATTTAGGATCTAGTCTAGTCTACAGGTAGACAACAAAACTTGAAAGCAATGTGCAGAGCTACAATCTAATAATAGGTGTACTATAGCTTTCCTTTAGAAATGTAACTTTTTCTCTCTATATGGGTAACATAGAAATCAGACTTTAAAACGTCTTTGGGCTAGGAAGCCAAACCAAGGTAGACTTTAGATTTTACTTGTTGTCTTCAAGTCCCTGGACCTGCCAAAAAGTGACAGTTTTTATTCATTCACTGTAAGCCTGGGAACCCTTGAAGTGACATATTCTATGCATATTCTCAAATATGACACTGTAGTCAAAGCCTTGGTAACAGAATCAGCATATCCAATCATATCAAGAGAAAGAAGATTTTTTTATTGAACTTACACAAATATGTATAGTGTCATAAGAATACTCACTAATAGTTTCAAAATTTGGGAGGAACCAAGTAGAAAAAGCAAATGTCTCCACCTTTATTCACAGAAGTATACTTTACCAAATTGCTGTATAAATTACTCTAGA